AATTCGCGAGTGGAATTCCCTGCCGGAAAGTATAGTAGCATGTCAAGATGCGGAAAAGTTATTTTGTTCATTAAGCGTGTTTCTAGATATTTAGGTATAGTGGCATGATCTGTATGTGAATGAACGGGTGTGCTTTTGAACCATGTGTACCTTTGTTGAATCGTTCTTTTTTGTCACTCCTGTAAGAGTCCCGACTCGGGACTGACAACATGTGAAATAAATAAATAAATAAATACAAATTTTGAGAAGTAATGAAGGAGCGAACGGTCAAACATGCGATTCCGACAGGTGGAAGAAAGCACGTTGCGACCCTTTAACTATTCTCAGGCACAGCTTGTTAATTTTTGAATGTGATTGATTTAAGATATGATAATGATGTTTGACATCTCCGGAAATGTCAAACTTAGCTATTCTTATTGAATACAAATCCGATATACGTTTAAAATAAAATATGTTACATACATTTGAAGGAACGATTGTGTTAAAAAATCCAGCGAAATCGATATTGATTTAATGTTTTTTTTTTACTTTGAGTTTTATTGGTAACGAAGTAGATTTGTGGGTTTATTAGCAAATATAAACAAACCAATATTGTGTTCTGTTTGTAAATCCGCAATTCAAGCTTGAATCTTGTCGACTGTTCGTTGTAAAGGAGTTTTCGCATGGTGGTATTCTGGTGAATATGGTGACGTGGTATAGATAATTACCTAATAATTATACTTTAATTAACACGTGACCTTAAAAAAGCTAAATTGTCAGTGGTGCATATTAGAAAGTATTTACTATGCCCAACGAAGGTTGCCATTTTCCAACATACATCGGACAAAGTGAAAGCTTTATTTGCGCTCATATAAACAATTATTACTATCTATTATATATATATATATATATATATATATATATATATATATATATATATATATATATATATATATATATATATATATTAATAAACCACTTTTATACCTTGCGGCTAATAAAATTTAAGCAACTAAAAAATCAGTTTTTGACAAATCAATTTTGAATTTGTTATACTTCCGAAACGTTCGTTCAATCAAGTGGATGTAACAATTTTATTTTGTACAGATGATACTGAATTTGTATTTATTGAAAATAACTAGATTCGAGCTTTCTGGTGATGTCAAGATCTTTCAAATATTTCTAATAGATCACACGTAAAAACTTGCCAAACTTCGCTAGAAACTCGTCAAAGTTCGACATTATTTCTTTTATTAATTCAAAAATATAGGATTTTGTTCAATTCCTCAAACCTAAGAAAGCCTATTATGAAAATGTCACAACATAGTTTTATTGCTTTATTCTAAAAATTAGAAGAAAAATAAAAATGAGCGGTCAAAGAAGCAATTCCAGACCTGCGGGAGAAACGTCAGTGTTCGCCTCGGCTATTTCAATAGTCAATAAAGCGGGGGGAAAATACGCCAAGCTTGCCGTCTCCGCTGTCTTTCATCTCAAACATGCTCCCAGAACATAATTTTTTTGTTGTTAAAAATTAAAGCTTTGACCCCAAAACCGTGCCTTAAATGAGATGAAAACACCAAAAAATAAGAAGGCAAGAAAACATAAGGATCGGTGTCGTCGTTTTCTTTCCTTGGCCGTGCTCCCTGGCTTTTCGTTATTTTTATGCAGTTTAGTTTATTCCCCTGCCCCTCCGAATAATAAAGATAAAATACACAAGAATTAATAAGTTTAATATATTGTACAATACATTATATTAAAGTGCCACAAAGCTACGCGCTCTGGTAATTGCGTGAATATAAAATATGCAAAACGACTATTATTACATAACATGTTAACTAACGCAGAGTTCCTTAGATAGAAATATTTCAATGTTACAGTCGCGTGAGCGTGCTTCATGCTGGTGTGAAGTTGTATGCTGAAGAGCAGCTCTGAACGAACATCAGCTTTTTAGTTCCTTCCGATAGCAAGATTCTGTAGCTGACCGGGCGCCGTCCCAAGACAAAAGTAATAGGCCTGTTCATACTTTTCATATTTTGCACCTAGCAGCTGGCGCACACATTGCGCTTGGTTGGGTAGGATTGAATAAATAAATGAACGCAAACGACTCAGCCCTTTGAATCCGGCGGCGATTTGCACCATCGACTGGCTCCGCGGGGACAAGCCAAAAACTATACGTGCCAGCAGTTTGTTCTTGTTTCACCTTAAATTTTAATAAGAAAAAAATATCATCCATGCGGAATCGCAATTTTTACGACCGAAGCGACGCAAGCTAGAAAGAACTGTTGGCACGCCGGATGGTGATAATACCGCACGACTGCATAGTGATTGTACCGGATTTGCTCCTAATTAAGGTTATCTACTGCTATCTAGCAAAACCAGCCTTCTTTTCTAAGAAGACTGCGTAACCCGTAATAACGTAGAACTTCATTAAAAAAAAATTATGCCAGCACATAAGACGCGGGGTAAGCAGAAAATGTGACACATCCTTCCACAAAGCTTCCGACACTTTCGCCCATTAAAATAATTCGAACTTTCGCAGGTGTGTAATGAAAGCGAACGCATCCGACAAACATTTCTTGGAAAATGTCTTATTTTTTAAACATATAATAGCCGTGCGAACACGACGAAGGGAATTGCACATCGAGTATCATGCCGACACCCAGAGGTCGGCATTTTAGGTCGCCCTCACTCACCCTCACCCTCACAGCCACACTCACCTAGGCTCCTCACTCACCCTCACCCTCACAGTCACACTCACCTTCAGCCCTTCATTCACCCTCACTGAACCTCACGCACTCACCGCCCTCACGGCCCTCACCGCACTCACGGCCCTCACGCCCCTCACTCACTCATGGCCCTCACGCCACTCACCGCCCTCACGCCACTCACCGCCCTCACGGCCCTCACCGCCCTCACGGCCCTCACGCACTCATAGCCCTCACCGCCCTCACGGCCCTCACGCACTCATAGCCCTCACCGCCCTCACCGCCCTCACGGCCCTCACGCCACTCACCGCCCTCACGCCACTCACCGCCCTCACGCTACTCACCGCCCTCACGCCACTCACCGCCCTCACGCCCCTCATCGCCCCTGCGGCCCTCACGTCACTCATGGCCCTCACGCCACTCAGGCCAGCTTCAGATGGGGCAATTTCGCCCAAAAACTTTACGTCGCAACACCAGCAACACGGGCCGCCCGTGATCACACGCAGCAACCAATTGCTGCAATTTGCCATCGTCATCATAAAGTTTTATTTTTCTTGCACTATTTAGGCACAATTACGCGTTATAAACGTGTTTTTATGCATTTAAATCTCGTTAAGAATACTAATGCACCTTTCTAAGACAGTTTATTTCCAAAAAAAACGATCGATTTCAAACCAGAACCAAGTCTTTGGGTGTCATCATCACCGTCACCAGGTATCACGTGAAAATTTTGCGTCCCTGATTGGATGCAGCCGCTTCAAACGTATTCGAATTGCTCCGAGTTGCTTCCTTATTTCGAGCCGGACCCGATCTCAGCAATTCGTGTCGATCTAGGGAAAGCTAAAGAACAACCCGCCATTAACACCAAAATTGCTGAGAAAGATGCTCAATCTGAAGGGCGCCTCACGCACTCATGGCCCTCACGGCCCTCACCGCCCTCACGGCCCTCACCACCCTCACAGCCCTCACCGCATTCACGGCCCTCACCGCCCTCACAGCCCTCACCGTCCTCACGTCCCTCACCGCCCTCACGGCCCTCACGGCCCTCACCGCCCTCACAGCCCTCACGGCCCTCACCGCCCTCACAGCCCTCAGGGCCCTCACTCACCCTCACTCACCCTCACGCTCATGAATTTTCCTGGTTCAGAAACTCACTCACCCTCACCTCACCTGTGAAGATGAGGGTGAGTGAGGGTGAGTGAGGGCCCTCATGAGTGAGGTTTGCCGAGGTATGCCGACACCTGATCGTGGCTCGTGCGGTCGACACACCGGGTGAATGAGATCATTGTCTTTTTGTCCTTAACGTTTTTCAGAGAGTCACAAAAATTGAAGTCGACCGTAATGAACTTTCAGCGGCTCAGATATGAGGGCACCTAGAACACACACTGGGGCCTAGAACAAGAAGAAATTTAATTTGTCCCAAAATGGTGTCTGACGCCTTCGCTTGTAGATGGGAAATGTGGCCAGTGTTGTCCGAGTGCTAACTTGGGGTCCTTCGCGTGTATTACGCAATACACTTTAAGAAAGTGTGTTCCTGCAGAACACGTAGACAGCAAATCAAGGCGAATCACAGAAAGGATCCCAGCCAATGATGAAGCTCGCTACGATCTGAAAAGGTGCGATGTGCGCCGGGATGACGTTTGACTTGCTGATTCTTCCTGCATGCATCAGAGTTTTCATATCCAATCGTGTTCCAAATTTTGACATTCACATATTTGTTCGCCGTGATTGGCGCCCTATTGTTCTGCAGGAAGATGAACTCACAAACGTTTTCGTAGCGTGATTACACGACCGCATACTAGTCCAATGCTGGACACGGGATCAAAACGGGCGGAAGAACCTAGGAAGATAGTGGCAGAGTAATACAGTTTTTCATGCGTAATGTTGTCCGTTTTTTGTGGAGTCATTTTTTAAAAGTAGCCAAACAAAACAGTCTGACAGAGGAAATTTAACTGTGAAACTAAGAAAATTATAGTAGTGCGACCACATTGGAGATTGGCATTTCTTAACAGAAAATCGGCATTAACTACTGAAATTATCAGGAAGGTGAATAATGGATATTAATAATAATGTTTTGAAACCCCGAGACTACTGCTGGCACGTGCATCAGATTGGGCTTCAGAGTGGGAGGGCACAACCTCGCATGCAATACAATTTTAAAATAACGTGATCATCAATAAATCTTTACTGGCGCGCTGGACATTGCGCAAAAAAGACGCCGACAAGCACTCTTGTCAGATATCTTCTCAGCTAAATCGGCCATCATTGTCACCTTCTCAGTAGAAATTTCGACTACTTCTGACTTAAAGTACTTACTCAAGGTCCAGCTCCCGTAGCTTCAGGGCAGGCAGCGGCAGCATCGACCTCAGAAATTTCCTAAGGTTAGTGTCCCGCACGATGACGAGTTTGAGATTTTTCAGCGAGGACAGCCAGTTCTCGTCGATGTAGCCGATGGTCGAGTTGTAGATATACACCCGATTCACGGTCTGCGGAAGGTCATTGAAATCGCCGGTGAGCTCGAGGTGCTTCATGTTCCAGAACTCGAGCTTTTCGAGCTTCCTAAGTCGGTCGAAAATCTTCCAGGAGTACGGCAGCGTGCTGCCCTCCCTGAAGATGATGATCTCGAGCGAGTCCTCGATCCCCAGGAACGGGTTGGGCCCGGTCTCGAACTGGGCGAAGCTGTGTACCCGCGCGTTCCGCAGCTCAATGACGCTCACGTTGCCGTCCACGAAGGTGCCGGCTGGGTAGTAGTCCAGCTGGCTGTCCTTCAAGATGAACCACAGGTTGCGATACTTGAGTGCACGCTGCACGTAGTGGTAGAAGTCGCCCACTTTGTTAATGTTGGCGCACGTGTAGAATTTGTAGTTCTCACAGTCTTGGCTGCAGGCAGACAGGTAATCCCTGTCCTGACACGAGGGTGCGGATGCCGCCTCATGAAACAGCGTAGTTAGGATTGCTAACACCGCGGTGGCAGCCGCTGTTTTCCTGACCGGCATCGTCGCACTTTGCCTTGGCGCGACGCGGAACGAACGCGGTTCAGCGTTTCGGTGATGACAGCAATTCCAACCGGTTCCGCTCAAGGGCACACGCGCTCTCGACACAACACCCCTCCGAGATGTCCGCACCCGTTCAAAGACGGGAGAGTGGAATTAACGCTCCGCTCATTTACGTCGAAGGTTGTTGAGCTCGGATAACACACTTTGAATAATTCACGGCCAGCACACCGCCGAGACAATAGCAATATTTTCTAGTGCATTGATACAAACAAATGTTTGTAGTAAAAACTTCCCAAATACAAAGGAGTAATGAACACAAAACACGCTGAGCCTAGATGAACAAATTACTTTACTTCCGAAGCCGTAAAATTTTCTGTTAAATGTTGTAATCCACGTCTTACTCTCTTTTATGCACGTGTAGTTCACAATGTTAAAATCAATAAGTAGTTAGTTCGGTGGATGCAAAGAATACTCCACAAACCACGCGAACATATGATGAAAGAAAAGAAATAAAAGCTGTTTGACTTATCAAAAGAAACAGTTTAATTAAACGTTTCGCTTTTTTGTGGGAGTTACCTTTAGTACAGTAAAGAGCCATGCGTTGCACCTGATATTGTTCATATTAACACACACTACAGCGCACTACTTCAAAAGTACACTCACTCCTAATACACGTGTGTAAAGAGTGAGTGTATGGTGGGAGTGTACTTTTGCAGTAGTGCGCTGTAGTGCGTGGCAATATGAGCAACCAACTCGCCCAAGCTGCTACGTTAGCAAGATATATTCCTATCGCTCGTACACTCTCATCTTTTTTTTTTTTTGCATATTGACGATCAGGATGGAAAACAGCGTGAAACACAAAGACACAGCGGAGAAAAATACATACGGGAAAAGGCGTTCACTATCAACTTTTATTTTTAAAACACGCGGGTATAGGTCTTCTTTTCCTTTCACTGTGGTGTCGCTTCTTTCTCGTTCCCTTCAAAAGAGACGTTATCCTTGGAAGAAAACGAGAAAGAAGCGACCCACAGTTAACTTAAGAAAGCAACACCACAGTAAAAAAAAAGAAAAAAGACCCCATACCCGCGTGTTTTCAAAATAAGAAAGTTTATAGCCAGCGCCTTGTCCTGTGTGTAGATCTCTCTTCTGTGTCCTTGCATTTGTATCTTAGAGGTGGTTAGTGTTTGTAGCGAAGTGGTGGTCCGACAGGTACTGTCGGGTACCAACACAGGGCAGCGTGAATGGCCTTAAATGCCGGTGGTGGCGATGTCCTGCCTTGTCGATGTTGAGAAAGGAGTGGCAGCCGCTGCTTCAGAATCAGGCGTCGTCGTGCCCGGGGAAAGACGTGCAGTTTTTCCGCGCAACGACCCGGTAACGGCGGGAGCCCACACTTTAATATAAGAAAGAGTAGATTTAACTCTTTTTGGAGTGTAAGTGGCTTGTCACAGAATCCACTCTTTTAAAGAGTAACTATAGCTCTTTGGAGGCAAGCGTATGTTAAAACTCTTACATACAAGTGTTCACTTAACTCTTTTATTGAGAGTCACGCCACATACCTTTGAGAAAGTCAGGGCTACTCTTTTGATGTGTAAGTGTAGGATTTAATTTCACTCCTTTGTGTACAGTAACTATAACTTTATTAAAAGTGTTGCCGAAACTCTTTGATGACAGTAAATTTCACTCCTTTGTGTAGAGTGACTATAACTTTATCAGAAGTGTTGCCGAAAGTCCTTGTTGACGAGTGAAGGACGCTGTCCAGGGAGAGTTACCTTTATTCCTTCGTGTAGAGTAACTACAACTCTATTAGAAGTGTGTCTGTATTCAATAGTTAAATATGTTCTCCCGGAAGAGTCGAATTCACATGTTTGAGGAGAGTAACTAAAACTCCATTAGAAGTGTAGCCTGAAATCTGTATTTAACAGTTAAGCACGCTCTCCAGGAAGAGTTGTTATAACCTTTTTGTGGAGCAAATACAACTCCATTAGAAGTATTGCCTACAGTCCCTATAAAAGAGTTAACTATGCTCTCTAGAAAGAGTTAATGTCACATAACGGTACACTTGAGCAGTTTGTATGACCTTTCCTTAAAAAGTACTTAACTCTTTAATACAGAGTTTAGGCAACACTTGGAATGGGGCTGCATTTACTCTACAGAAAGAATTGTGTACAGTAAGTACAGCCTCATCTGGTGTGTTGCCCAAACTCTGTATCAAAGAATAAGCACTCTCTTCAAAAAGGGTTCACACAAACTTTACTCAATTATGCTGTTAAATATTTTCAGCGTGTTGTTGGGTGTAAGTTAACCCAGTGAAAAGTAACGAAAACGCCTGAAAACAAAATTAGAAGAACGGAAGTGTAAAATTGGCTTTGTTGTTAAAAACACTTGCTGGAAAAAAATTAAGAAAAAGAAAACCTCTTCTGGCATTTCACATTTCTAGTCTGTTGAAGTGCGACCACTGTAGTTTTCTTATTGTAATTATTTTATTGAATGTCAATGCCTTAATTGATTTCACCGTAATTTGGAGTATTTTTGTCCTTATTGTATGAGTTGGTGCCTACAACTAGGGACAACTGAAGCATTTTGCAATGAACAGTAGCCCTAAAATCTAAAGGCGGTTATGTACATATTCACAAGGAGATGGTTGCATAGGAAATGGAGAGCTGCAGCTAAACAATTACATAAAATATAGAGCATGGGCCTGCACAAAGGCTATAGGTTCTCATGAAAAGTCAGCTTAGAAAGAAAACAGTAGAATAGACCTTAATAAACCGAGACTGATTTTAATTTCAGCACATGGCAAAAAGGCAAAACTAGCACACAAATTTCCTCTGGTTAACAAGGTTTTAACTTTGTGATCAGGTCTAAAGCCAAGACGGACTTTATTTTGTACTTCAAACCAATGAAGTGCCCAATCATTGCGAGTGAGTGGCTTGATTTTGATGGTAAGAAATGTCGTGAACGCCGAGCAGTGCTTGAACGAGCCCTGCATCAGCCACAATATCCGTCACCTCAAAAGAGTGGTCCCCCAACACCACAGTTATGGCACTTGAGTCCTCTTCGTCGATTCGCATCGCCGGACAAGTCGATCGGTAGTGTCCATCTTCCTGTAAAGAATGAAAGCTTAAATGTAAAGTCAGTAATATTAAAAGAGAAGAAACAGCTCGCTAAGCTGTCCTTAGTTAATACCAGTGCACTCATTTGCAAGACAATAGACCATTTGCGAAAATCCCCATCGCCATTCATACGATGCGCTCCAATAGTTGGCTGGGACTCGCTTTCTTGTCGGTTGAACAAGAGTCCCGAACAAACACTAAGGCAGCACTCATTGCTAGCTCGCTCAGCCGCAACCATCCAAAACCATTCGTATCCCTTCTGATAGAACACCTAAGAGAAAAATAAACCATATCCCTTTCTCTCTCTACTTTTTCCTTTGAATGCAATGGCAGCCATAAGGGGTTGCATTTATTTATGGCATCCCGAAGTTTTCACCCCATCGGAAGAAGGGGCAAGGGGAGGGGGCGCCCCCCCCCCCCCTTTCTTCCCTGACTTTTGGAACAATTATAGCAGGCGATATGGGTGAGTGACAAAGTTTAGCTTCCCTGCACATCACCCCTTGACTTTCCAAACAGTAGCAAACCAGCTGGCCTCTGCCCATAGCGGTGGAAGACATAGCTCTATATAGATAGACTGAGGAGTGGGATGAATGCAATTTCTCAACATCTGCATTTGTCCAAGTGGCATACAATATGTTAGGAACATCTTTATAGAAAAATTAGTGAGAACAACCTATTGGGTTTCAGCGCTGACTGCCGTATGTTATTGTTTATTTCACAACTTTAAAAAGGAAGCTAGCGAATGCAAGTAGCATCTAAGTTTGGGGGAACCATTCAATAACTTCAGCACTGCAAGGTGCTAATTCGTTATAAAGTACCATTAAACCTTAATTTAAAAAAAAAATAAAAAATTATGCCTACTGGAATTTACGAATTCTCGAATTCACGAAAAAGAAAATTTAAAAGTAGCCCAAACCGAGGACATACAGATTTAGATTGGGAAGTGTTAAAATAACTGATAAATGTGCCACATGTCAAAACAGACCATACATCGCGGCGAGCTTAAGCCCTGCCACAACCGACACTACTAGAGAGTCAGCGAGCTGCTCTTGTGTGCCACTTCATCGTGCAGCTGCACAATAGGTTAGGGCTCTCTATTGTTTACTGCACGCACTACTCTGAATGCAGGTGCAGGCACATGCATTGCAAGGTCGAATTCAGAGCTCTTTTTTTTTTCTTCTTCAAATAGTAGAAAGGTTGAATTATAAATTGCTTAACCCTGCTCTTTGCAACATCACAGTGTCCCTCAATCCTTCATCTAGACTTAAGACATGTTTATTACAATCTCGACATTTCAGTTCACACCTAGATTTCTACGTTGTTTTGAAAGAAAAAAAAAAGTTTTAAGAATTGCGGTGTTTCCGGCAGAGATATATGTAGTTATAAATGTACCTATATTGCCTCCATGTTATTTACAAGTTACAAATCAAACCGCTAGCCTCCCCTTCAACTCACCAGTGTCAAATGTTCTAAATTAACAGTCAAATAAATACCCTCTTATACAAAAGAATATGACAGTTGAACGTAACATGATGCTTGAATCAATAAATCACTCACATAAAAGAAAGCTTGTCGAGTAAAGACAATTACTGGCAAATACACTCGCGTAGCGAGGTCACATAACTGACACTCCACTCCCACCCAACAAGCTGAATCTTGGCAAATAAGGACTACTCAAAGCCCTGTGGAATTTGGCTTTGGACATACTGGGAGGACTTTACTACAGCACACATCTACCGCCAAGAAGACAGCTAGCTATATTTTAAAAAAAAGAACTAAAAATGACTTCAAACACAGAAATAACCAATCAGAACGTCACTCACGGACTATTAGAATAAAAAGTGCTTACAAATAACGCTGTACAGGGCATTTCGGGCCGATCGCTCT